CCCTCCAGATCATTGGCTGAGACCTCCCAATCCACCCCGTAGCTGCTTCCAGCTGCCACTGCCACCAGGACTCACATTCCCTCCCTGCCCCCAAAAGCTCACTTACAAAATCATTGTTGGAAATGCAGCCAGGGTAGTTCATTTTTTTGAGACCTCCTGCCAGCTTCCCCAGTGACTTTGTTTGTCAGAAGCCGGCTAGGAAGGTTGCAAATGGCAATCATGTGACCGTGGGATGCTGTGACCATCATAAATGCACAGTGGTTGCCAAGCACCCGAATTACAATCACGTGGCTGTGGGGATGCTGTGATGGCTGCAACTTTCAGACTGGTTGTAAGTCTTTTTTCAGCACCATCATAACTTCAGTCACTAAACAAATGATCATTAAGCGAGGACTGCCTGTATTGGGTCCCATTCCCACAGTTCAAAAAAGACAGTGATGAACTGAAGCAAATTCAGAGGAAAGCTATCAAGATGGCAAAGGGTCTGGAAACCAAGCCCTATAAGGAATGGTTACAGAATGTTGGGCTTTAACCTACAGAAAAGATAATTAAGGGGAGGTAAATATTTAAAGGGCTGCCATACAGAGGAGGAAGTGGACTAATTTAATATTGTCCCAGGAGGCAAAACCAGAATCAATCAATTAACTTTGTAAGGAAGGAAGTTCACGCTATGTATCAGTACTTCCTGACTGTACTAGCTGCCAGCCAGTGGAAAGGTTGCCACATGAAGTGGTGAGTCTTCCTTCACTGGAGGTCTTCAAACAGAGGCTGAATGATCATCTATCAGAGTTGCTTCGGTGGATACTACACAGAGTATGGAGGTTAAACCTCTATAGGTGTGTCCAACTGTGATTCTCCGAGATCTTTATTTTGTTCTATCTGAGCTACTCTGGGACCAAAACGTGGCCTTTGTTTATATAAATAGAACAATATTTGGTGGCCTCCCCCAAACCCAGGATCATTATATTTCAAAGAAATTAAAAAAAAAATAAAAGGGCTGAGACTGAAACACCAAGCTCATAAAAATTGGTCAAAATTATTCCTTCATTTGGAAGGGGGCATGGGGGGAGGGCATTACTTGAAACATAGTCTGTACACACTTTCCTACATTTGTGAAAAAAGCATTGAGTTTGTACTAGACAACCCTGTGACTTGTTGAGTCATCCTTTGACAGTAAGGAAGTACAGTCTGATGTGACCAGAATAAATATTAAATTTTAGGCTGACCATAATTTTTTTTACTCCAATGCTGGAAGATCCCATGATCATCTAAGAAGAGTATATATCATAAATAGAAAAATAATTGTAGTGGCAAATGAACTTCAATAAGTCAATATTTACTTACAGTGGGACAAAAAAGTATTTAGTCAGCCACCAATTGTGCAAGTTCTCCCACTTAAAAAGATGAG